ATTTTGGTCATAAATAGGGTATGGTTTTTGCCCTCTAGCCTTGATATGGGTATGTTTGTAAAAAGAAGCCACTTTTTCATCATTATCGAAGAGGAAATCAACAAAAGCCCTTCACAAATTATGTTTATGTTAATTTAACATTGGTCTGAACTAGGGAACTAATCATAACACAGGTCTGACACAGGTCTGACACAGGGTTTTGATTTAAGGCTTGGGTCATAAATAGGGTTTCAAATTTTTGGTCAGGTCATAAATGTAGGGTACTAGGGAATATCGCAGATTTTAGTCATAAATAGGGTAAGGGTTTTGCGACGCAGGCCACACAGCCCCACCCAATTTTTCTAGGAGTACCCGCCTCCGGGCCTTGATGCTCTATAAGCCAGACACCACTCTAAGATGAACAACTAGGGCCAGTCCTGACGGTAGCCATAATTGCGTTACAATAGTAGTAAGGTACAGTCTGTGTCAGGACAAGCTGGAGCTTATTCCAGCTTCTCTAGCTAGCATTAAGTGGCCGGCTCTGGAGGAGTATTTCTAAGCCCCCCCCCCACCTTTCCCTGGATGGGATGCTACTGTAGGTNAAGTTGCCGAAAAAATGCTCTAAAACAAAAGTTGCTCAAAAGTTGCTCGAAAGGCCAAAAGTTGCCAAAAAGTTGCCGAGCAACTTGTGTAAAAGCCTAACTGTAGGTCACTACAGGGTTACCACCTTACCCCCAACCCAATCACCCTTTATTTAAAGAGGTCAAAATTTGCTGTGGTGCGCCTCATGAGTCCACAACATTTTGACCACTGTGATGACGCATATCGTCGATAAGAGTACAGACAACACTAAACCACATTCGATTTTTTAATTAGCCCTACCAGTTAGATGGAGAAGTTCTTTCCAGTTTAAACCCCTAACCTCACCCACCCAGTTAATTAGTTTCATACTTTGCTAAAATGTATTATTACACACTTTTTCAAGTCCCCCTCCCTCCCAGTGTTATCAGGTGAGTGACCTTTCTTGGGTTGAGTATTTCCTGCAATGGTACCTTAGATCATTTATTTCATGTATACTTCCCTTACCATCAAATTCAGATGTTGTATATGGAAATGAGGCAACTTCTCCAGACAATGCAGCCAATACGTGGGTCTCAAACATTTTGCTAAATAGGTGAGGGTCAGTTTTATTGGCTTTTGAGACCTTTCTGCTCTATTAAAAGAATTGACAAACAAAATCCTCATGAAATATACTGCACAGTCTTCATCAAAGGACAGGTGTCCTACATGTATTTTTATTTATACCATAATACACCTTTGGGACAACCCAGAGGGCTAAAATAACACTTACTTTTCATTCAACTTTCCATTGCGCAAAACAAATGAGGAAAGCACTTTTTCATAGTAACATTATACTTTCCAAAAAGTATGGGAACCAATTTTCTACTAACCACAACTGACAAAATTGCAATGATACAGTCTGACTTTCTCCACATCTTGAATGGAGAACGTCATGCCTAAGGATTTTAACCATTAAAAACATGGCAACTTGCTGCAGAAGTGAAGGTTTTGAAGTGAAGTCAGCAATGGACTACATGTTCATGTACATGGATCACATGATCGATTGCATCATTAATAATCATCATCATATTGTATTATTCAAGGTTTCCTCTGTCAAGCATCCATGATGGCTGCCAGAGATTGGTGTCCTGTTCACTATGTAATTGAAGAGGTGAGTGCAAAACCATGCTAAGAGACGATTTGGGTGAAAAAAAAAAATTTCGTAAAGGGGCTTGAATTTTTCATGTGGTCTTCAATGTAATAAAAAACATGGTACTGTATTTTTGTCGCTGGTTTTTGCTTTGTTTTCGAGTTAAAAGGTATGCAAAAAAACTTGGCTTTTCCTAGCCATGTCTTTAGGAGTTTATTTGTTGAACAGCAAACAGCCAAACTGTTTATAGTGTATAAAGTCAAAATCAAATCCCACAGCATAGAGCGGAAATCTGGGAACAGATTGTTTACATCGGTTATTGTGACATGNGATTATTAAAGATAAAATAATCTGTTATTGCTCCAGCTTGCACGTTCAATCAAGATACCTAGATATTAGCCTTAACCTGTTGTTGTGTGTTTAATGCAAATTAAAAAAGATCTTGGCCAAAAGCCTCCCACCTTATAATTCTACAAAAAAAAAGATACCTCAGGTGATGAGGTTTGCACAAGCCCTGTATCCTGATCCATGCCCACCACAACACAGATCTCAATCAGACTGTCCCGTAACTTGCTGAAGTGACTGTCCATTGTGTCGTTTTCAACTGAAACATATTAAATAATTTAAATGTTAAATATCATCCAGCTCAAATCTGATGAGTTGAAAGTCCGATGCCTGTCCAATTCATACAGCTATCAAGAGTGAGTAGTATAATATAATTAGTACAAGCATGCAAAACCTAGTGCCTTACCAAAATTAAACACAGATGTTGAAAAAAGGTCCCCCTCTGAGGACCTCATTTCTACTATACATTCCCTGTTTTAGGAACACAGGTGCTTTTGTTTTAAACACATGCAGGTGCATGCTTCTAGTCAAAATTAATTGCACGTTTTCTGTTTGTGGCTCATCAGGCAAGTTTCTGCAGCAATAAAAGTACTGGCTATACTGCATTACCGAGCTAGAAGGGATGCTTGTCCATTCCAGGTTACACACTGGTTCATTTTTGACAGGAGAAGTCAACAACATCCCTTTTCAGGTAATTAACAGGTGTACTATATTGCCTAATGAGAGGAAATTGTTCTCTGTGGAAGAATGCAATACCAAGACAATGAACTACAATGGGCACAAAAGTGTTGAGACACCTGGCAGTAAAATTCAATTTTTCAGGGACTTGGAAACNAAAAAAAGATACCTCAGGTGATGAGGTTTGCACAAGCCCTGTATCCTGATCCATGCCCACCACAACACAGATCTCAATCAGACTGTCCCGTAACTTGCTGAAGTGACTGTCCATTGTGTCTTTTTCAACTGAAACATATTAAATCATTTAAATGTTAAATATCGTCCAGCTCAAATCTGATGAGTTCAAAGTCAGATGCCTGACCAGTTCATACAGCTATCAAGAGTGAATAGTATAATATAATTAGTACAAGCATGCAAAACCTAGTGGCTTACCTAAATTAAACACAGATATTGAAAAAAGGTCCCCTTCTGAGGACCTCATTTCTACTATACATTCCCTGTTTTAGGAACACAGGTGCTTTTGTTTTAAACACATACAGGTGCATGCTTCTAATCAAAATTAATTGCATGTTTTCTGTTTGTGGCTCATCAGGTAAGTTTCTGCAGCAATAAAAAGTACTGGCTATACTGCATTACCAAGCTAGAAGGGATGCTAGTCTATTCCAGGTTACCCACTGGTTCATGTTTTGACAGGAGAAGGCAACAATATCCCTTTTCAAGTAATTAACAGGTGTACTATATTGCCTAATGAGAGGAAATTGTTCTTCTCTGTGGAAGAATGCAAAACCAAGACAATGAACTATAATGGACGACAAAAGTGTTGAGACACTTGGCAGTAAAATTCAATTTTTGAGCGAGTTGGAAACATTCCCCACCCCTCCCCCCCTTTCCCTTAAACAATGTTGATTTTTCTATTTCTTAGGCTGCACAGACCTACAGCGCCTACACAACATTGAATTGGGGGGCCGGGGTATCAGAGAATTAATGCTAGATGTAGATAAGATAGAATAAGTGGTTAAATATCAAAAAGTGTCATTTTCTAAACATGTCTCAACTACTTTTGTTGCCCATTGTAGCTTCAGGAGTGCACTTACAACATCACTTGCTGCTGCCGTAGGGGGAAGGTGCTTGCCTAAAAACAAAATTATGTGGGGGGTTGGGAGGGTTGGGAGCTGAAAGACAAAAGTTGACAATGATAGATGCACAGACAAAGTGAGAGCTATACCACTGTTTTCAGCCTGACTTGACAGAAACATAATCTACATCCGTTACATTATTCCTTTTAGTGGTGAATCATCCTGGTTATAATTAAATAAGCTTAAGTACCTGACAGGTAATTAGTCAGCTTATATACAGCTGCATCTCCTGTGCATAAGTTTATTTCATTTACAAATAACGAAACAAATAAGTAGTTAATGTAAATCAATCAAATTTCAGAATTAAAAATATTACCCAGAACGATTTGACATTACATTTGCAAGCTCAATTGACCTTTCAAGCTTAATTATATTAGACTTATATTCCGAACCTCAGGCAATTTTGAAAAGCTGACAAGAAGAATAACAACTAGCAAATAAGGTAGAAAATAGCAGGAAGGTAGGAAGGATTAGGAAAGAAGTTTCCCGAGTGTGTGAACGATTAGTCAGCTTCTTACTAGGCTTTCGAGTTCAAAAAACTGAAAGGTTTTGAATTGTACTTCAGCACTTCACCTGATTTTATAATAATCGGGCAATAATTTGTCCTGACTCGAAGTTCAGTGTTTTACATTTTCTTCTTTCCAACAGCAGACAGCAGCCAAAGCCGTTCATCGATAAATGGTAGCTGCTTGATGTAAACCCTGCGGTTAAATGAGGTAACAGGAAGGGCTAATTCTAGGAACTGTCGGAAGTCGCCATTTTCGGGAGAAGATATATTTATATTCGTCATGTAACAGTACACTGTTTTTCCCCCAATCATCATGCGTGACATCCATGTGACCAATCTATTGAGAGTTGGTAGCGAGGCTCTTCCAAATGAGGTGTAATGCAAAAGCATCAGCTTGGAAAAAGCTAAAACAGACCCACATCAAACATAGCTAAACATCAGGAATGGGCAGCTGTCGTTGACTGATAAATAGTATCTCTTCAAAGTAAACCCGGCAGTACGTAAAGTAACTGAATGGGGCTTAGATTCGAAGAACTGTCGGAAGTCGCGATTTCGGTGACCTCCCAGGCAAACGTCCTTATGGCTCGTCACGCGAGTCATTAGAACATTTGCGTAGGAGGCTTCGTCGCGGTAAAGTTCATCATTCTCGTTTTTTTTTTTTTTTT